GGCCATACTGGATGTGGCATCGCTCTCTACTGTGATCAGCCGTGAACTGGGAATAGAGATCGTAGAATTTTACATGAATCAAGATAAGAAGATACCTGAGGAATTAAAAGTCTTTATTTCAACATCTGTGAAATTTATCTTAGAACATAACTAATTTTATTTTGAGGGAAAATGTTATTTACAGACTAGGGGTACCACCATGGCCACCAGGTTTGCCCCCAGTTATGAAAATACCGACATGAGAAGGTGGGAGGATTGATTTGTGTGGTTTGGTCATGACTGGGGTGAAAGCCTTGTGCTCTGGTGGAGATTTATAGACAACATTATTATCATTTGGAGCGGGTCCCAATCTTTATTTGTGTCATGTAGTTTACCCCAACTCGCAAGATTTAGTCAAACAATTGACAATATAGAGCAGATATGTCTTACCGGATCTTAGAATGGCCGGACTCGACGTAGAGGAGAGAAATACAGAGTCAGGAACGATCCGAGGTCAAGGGTACAAAGAGACAGCGAAAACAAGTACTAGCCAAGGTATGGTACACAGTAATCAGTAAGCCGGCAAACAAGGCAAAACAGGGATAAAGAGATAATCGGAGTCAGATACAAAGCCAAGGTCAAGTACGAAAAATCACAACTGAACACAACACGCGCTAAAGGGAACTGAAACAGAAACCACGATAGGGCAGGGAGTTAAGGGAGAGGTAAGTAAAAATACCCTTACATTTAATTTGATTGGCCCCTGTCATATCCACGCCCCCAAAATGTGAGTGTATGGGGAATGTGGGATAACAGGGGCCAATGGGAGATTGTTTTAGTTTTCGGCTCCCCCTCCCCCTTTAAGAGTGTGCCCGAGACGTGCGGCGTGCTCTTGGAGCTAGGCGGGACACGTGACTTCATCCCGCGGTCAGTGCCTGCCGTCATCTGAGCCCCGAGTGAGCCGCGCGTGGCGGGAACTGAGGACCTCGGCCGGCCCCCGGATAAGGTAAGTACCGCTACAATTTGATGATGCTGTATACTACCTTAACTCCGACAAATATGAACTTAAATTAACTCCAGTATGAAACAAGAGAGAAATTAATTTCCTCGATGTAACCTTGTATTCAGTGGGAGATGATATAAAATCCAGATGTTTCTTTAAGCCTACTGACGGTAACAGTTACGTACACAAGAGGAGCAGTCACCTTCGACCTTAGCTAAAGGGAATAGCAAAAGGGCAGCTAACTAGAATAAGACGGAACTACTCAGATACACAAGATTTCAAAATTCAGGCAGAACATGAACATGAAAACAAGCTAGATAAGAAAGGTTATAATAGGAATAACATAGAGAAAGACATAGGATTAATGGTACAAAAGGATAGAAACAAACCCCTCATGGATAAACCAAGTGGAAAAGATAGGGGTGAACAGTATAACTGAGTATTTTCCACATGATACATCGTACAACATTGAAAAATCAACAAAGAAAAGTCTACACAACTTCTTGCCTATTCTATTGAAAGATCCAGTTTTGGGGGCAGAGTTACCAAAAAGACCCAAATTGGTATTTAGAAAAAAATCTAAATTTGAAAAACATGATAGCGCCAATCTATTTGAGAAAAAAGGGTGGTAGGGAACCAAGATCAATAAACAAAGGTTTCAAAGGCTGTGGGGTTGTAAAGCGTGCTCTACTATAAACATGATCAGAACAAAAAAATTCCAAAGCTTCATTAAAGGGGAGAAATTCACAATTAAGACAGGTATTGGTTGTCGCATGGACTTTGTGGTATATTTACTGCAGTGTCCGTGCAGCAAGCAGTATATAGGTCATACCAAATCTCGTGCAACACGTACCCACAGTCAATTGGAGAGATATTCATTGTATGGGTATTGAAAAAATAGACCCTCATTGGAGAGGGGACGATAGAATTTAAAAATTGTCACAGCGTGAAACCTATTGGATTCACAAATTACGTACATTAGAACCCAAAGGGTTGAGTGTGGACATAGATCTGATTTGTTTTCTATAATAGAAGCAATTTTGAGGAAATATATACATTGAGGTCTCAACAAAATAAATGAATATGTTAAATAAGCAACAAATTAACATGTTAAATAATTATGTGAAAAAAATATGTTTAAAGGTATATGTGACAACATAGAAAAAAATATTTCTTAAATTTTATTTTTATGTTTATTGTCTAAGTTTAAATATTGAAGCACTTTAAGACAGGGTGTAGAAGATTTTGAAAACTGTATATTGGTTAAGTAGCGATTTCATTATGCATTTATATTTTACTAAAAATTGCACTTTATTGATAAAAAAATTTGCACTTTAATAAAAGTTACATTTTAATAATAAATATCATGTGATTCCCCTGAGGACAAATTTTCTAGCTAATCTCATAACTTCTATTTGATAAGACATTGCACTTCTACCTCTGTGGTCATAAAATATTTCCCCTTTTTTCCATTTACCTCCTTATTGCTGGTGAGTACACTCTGAATGTAGACTTTGAATGGTTGAAACATATGGAATGTATGAACTGCAGCTGCCATTGCAAACCATCAGTGGAACGCATAATGGCCACCGCTTGGAACGCAAACGTCATAAAGAGGCCGAAACCGGAAGTAGCAGATCAGCAATGACGTTGCACAAGTACTGAGGGATGTAAAACACCGGGAGAATAGATTAAGGACAGCAGAGACAGCTGAAAAAAGTAAACAACACCCACTGGACCACCAATGAGACTGAGGGCAGGGGCAGCCTTAGGGGTGTGCGAGCTGTGCGGCCGCACAGGGCGCCATGGGAGTAGGGGGCGCCATGCGGCCAACACAGCTCACACATGACCGGCCGTGATTATATTGAGGTGTGCGTGGAGCTCACTGTGTGGTGAGGTGGAGCTTCCCATGTGGCGGAGGCGGGGCTAAACTGATGGTGGGGGCAGAGCTAAAAGTGCCAGGTAACTGCTAAAGGGAAAGCAGTCACTGACACACACACTAACACACATACACACTCATATTTTTTTTTTATTTAATCCCCCAGTCTCCTTACCTTTGGGAGTGCTGAAGGGATTCCCTGGGGTCCAGTGGGGCTGCCCGGCGGATGGTCCTGCGGGCGCGCAAGGGAGCATTCTCCCCTTAGCGCTCTCTACTGCTTACTTATGCAGGAGCCAGAATGACGTCATATTCCAGCTCCAGCATCACTGTGGTGAACGCAAGGGAGCTGGGTAGAGAGCGCTCAGGGGAGAATGCTCCCTTGCGCGGCCGCAGGACCTCCCGGTAACACCAGGGCCAGTCTCGGGGGGCCCTGAGGTGGCAAGCTACTGGGCCCCCCAGGGGAAGAGGCTGACCACACTGGCGTACATCACGGGTGGGCCAAGCCTGGCCGCAGCCACGACCCCTGCGACCGCGATATGTACGCCACTGTGTGTATTACTGTCTGCCTGTGTGACAGTCTGCCTGTGTGTGTGTGTGTGACTGCCTGTGTGAGACTGTCTGCCTGTATGTGTGTGACTGCCAGTGTGTGACTGTCTGCCTGTGTGTGTTTGTGTGGATGTCTGCCTGTGTTGGTAGTGTTTATCTGCCTGTAACTGTGTATGTGTTTTACTGGCTGTACCTGTAGGTTTCTGCCTGATCCTCTGTATGTGACTATCTGCCTGCGACGGTGTGCATGTGAAGGATTTGACAATTTATATATAGTTTTAAGAGTTATATAAGGCTTGTTATCATTAGCTTGGCTAATATAGCTTGGTTGCTACTTCTAAGTGCTGTTTCTAAGTGTGTTGTTGGAGATATTCTGGAGAGTTTTAGAGAAGCTTCAACTGTCTAAGAGTTGGGTTAAGAGCTTTCTTTTCTACTGTTACAGGTAAGATTCATCTGTGGGAAAAGGTTACTGATTGCACAAGGTTTGAATTCCTGTTGGTAATTATAAGGCATTTGATTTGATTTGATTTGATTAGTCAGTTACTTGCTATAGATTGCTGTTTAAATTAGCTATTGTTTGCAAATAAGCAGAGGCCTACCCAGGTGTTAAACATTCCTAGTGGGTGGTGATTTTAGGAGTTATATAAGGCTTGTTGTCATTAGCTTGGCTAATATAGCTTGGTTTCTTCATCTAAGTGCTGCTTCTAAGTGTGTGGTTGGAGATATTCTGGAGAGTGCTGTTTCTAAGTGTGTAGTTGGAGATATTCTGGAGAGTGCTGTTTCTAAGTGTGTAGTTGGAGATATTCTGGAGATAAACTGGAGGTAATCTGAGGTATTCAGGAGGATAAATAAAAAGTTAAGATTTGTTTGATTTAAATTATTCTCCTCATTGGAATGGCAGACTTAGTTCAGTGTAATAGTTGCTATGCATTTGTTTCACGTTCCACTTTTTGGAGGTTTGGTTGTTGTCTTATCTGTAGACAGTTCTCTATCTTGCGGCAGGAAATTGTATTTTTGAAGTCTAAGATTTGTAAATTATCTGGTGAACAAACTCAGACTGGAACTGCTGCAAAGCCACTGCCGCAGAGACATACTAGGAATGGCAGATAGATTACTCTAGGATCTGGTAGACTTAGAGTTGTGGGTAAAAGGCATTTTGCACAGTCTGTTGCTCTTCATAATTCATTTTCTGCACTTTCAGAGTGTAATGGTGTTGTGGAGAGAGGCACTGAGGCTAGTAGTGTTGTGAAGAGAGGCACTGAGGCTAGTGGTATTGTGGAGAGAGGCACTGAGGCTAGTGGTGTTGTGGAGAGAGGCACTGAGACTAGTGGTGTTGTGGAGAGAGGCACTGAGGATAGTGGTGTTGTGGAGAGAGGCACTGAGGCTAGTGGTGTTGTGGAGAGAGGCACTGAGACTAGTGGTATTGTGGAGAGAGGCACTGAGTCTAGTGGTGTTGTGGAGAGAGGCACTGAGGCTAGTGGTGTTGTGAAGACAGGCACTGAGGCTAGTGGTGTTGTGGAGAGAGGCACTGAGACAAGTGGTGTTGTGGAGACCGGCTTGGAGACTATGGTCAGGCCTAACAGTTGTTGTTGGGGGATTCCATTATAAGAGGTGTGGAGATGGACAATGGTGGTCTTGTGAGGTGTTTTCCCGGAGCTACTGCTCACAGAGACAGGAGACGTATCTGTAATATTGTTAAGCAAGCAAAGCAGGAAGGGGAATTGGATGTACTTGTCCATCTAGGGACAAATGACTTGGCTTGCAATGAGGTTTCAGAGGTTAAGGAAGTTTTTAGTGTTTTTGCCAATGATATATGGCAGGTTGCTTCCACACTGTCATTCTCTGAAGTTCTGCCTGTGCATAACACTCAGAACGACAGGTGGATGCGTATTAGGGACTTTAATTTGTGGCTTGGTGAATGGTGTCGGGAGCAAGGATCTGGCTTTATTTCTCATGGTAGCTCTGTTTGGAATGGAAATAAGCTGTACAAAAAAGATGGTTTGCATCTTTCTCAAAAGGAAACAAATGTTCTCAGTGAGCAGTTCAGAGGTTTTGCTAGGATGTATTTAAACTAGGAGGGGGGGGCAAAAGGGTGATAAAACATCAATCCAATTGTCCCCCAAAACAAGGACAGAAGGTGCCTGTAGCAAGTGTGTTAAAAAATTATAAGCTTAGAGTCATGTCTACAAATGCTCGCAGTTTAGGGAATAAGATCCATGAACTTGTGGCAATAATGGCAACTGATAGTGTAGATTTAGTCGCTGTTACTGAGACATGGTATAATGAGAAAAATGACTGGGACATAGCAATACCAGGGTACTCTTTATATAGGAAAGATAGGGAAGGCAAGAAAGGGGGAGGGGTGGCCTTGTATGTGAAGGATAGCATAAAATCTAGCCTAATAAAAGTTAGTGAGGCAAACATAGAGTCCGTTTGGGCTACGTTAGAATTTGGTAATCACACAGTAACTCGTGTAGGTGTGATTTATAGGCCCCCAGGACAAATTGAAGAGTTAGATAATCTACTAGTTGAGGAAATAGCTAAAATGACAATGAAGGGGGAAGTTATCATCATGGGTGACTTTAATCTTCCTGATGTAAATTGGAAAACAAAATTAGCTACTTGTGCCAGGAGCACACATATTCTAAACTCCCTACTGGGATTGTCTCTAAAACAAGTTGTTGAGGAGCCAACTCGTAAAGAGGCCATACTAGATTTAGTGTTAACAAATGGAGATTTGGTATCAGATATTACTGTAGGTGAAAGTTTAGGATCCAGTGATCATCAATCAGTGTGGTTTAATATAAGAAAAGTGACTGAGTCACACCACACAAAAACAAAAGTTTTAGACTTTAGAAAAGCAGACTTTTCTAAAATTAGAATATGGGTAGAGGAGTCATTATCAGACTGGAGCAATTTAAATGGAGTCCAATAGAAATGGGATTATTTAAAAGTTGCACTATTGAAGGCAACAGAAAATTGCATTAGGCTTGTCAGTAAAAGCAAAAAATTCAAGAAACCACGGTACTCCACAGATGTGGCCAAAATAGTTAAAAACAAAAAGTTTTCATTTAGGAATTATAAAAAAAACCAGAGTGAGGAAGACAAAATGATCTATAAGATTAGGCAGAAAGATGCTAAGCAAGTTATAAGAGCTTCCAAATCATACACAGAAGAGAAAATAGCACAGTCAGTAAAAAAGGGGGATAAAACATTTTTTAGATGCATAAATGAGAAAAGAAAAGTAAAACAAGGATTAGTTAGATTAAAAACAAAAGAAGGAAGGTATGTAGAAGAGGATAAAGGTCTAGCTGACTGCCTCAATGAATATTTTTGTTCTGTATTTACAGATGAAAATGAAGTAAAGGGACCTCAGTTGAGAAAAAGGATAAATGAGTCATTTATTACACGTGAGTTTACAGAGGAAGAGGTTTTATTTCAACTGTCAGAAGTAAAGACAAATAAGTCAATGGGACCTGATGGAATACACCCAAAACTGTTAAAAGAGCTTAGTGGTGTACTAGCAAAACCATTAACAGATTTATTTAACCAATCATTGTTAACAGGAGTAGTCCCAGAAGATTGGAAGTTAGTGAATGTTGTACCCATTTACAAGAAAGGTAATAGGGAGGAGTCGGGCAACTATAGGCCAGTAAGCCTTACTTCAGTAATGGGGAAAGTGATGGAAACCATGTTAAAGGATTGGATTGCTGAACATCTAAAAACACATGGATTTCAAGATCAGAGACAACATGGGTTTACTTCAGGGAGATCATGCCAAACTAATCTTATTGATTTTTTTGATTGGGTAACTAAAATTATAGATCAGGGTGGTGCAGTAGACATTGCTTACCTAGATTTCAGTAAGGCTTTTGACACTGTTGCACATAGAAGGCTTATCAATAAACTGCAATGTTTAAGTTTGGATTCCAATATTGTTGAATGGGTAAGGCAGTGGCTGAGTGACAGGCAACAGAGGGTTGTAGTTAATGGAATATATTCGAAGCTTGGACTTGTCACCAGTGGGGTACCTCAGGGATCTGTACTTGGACCCATTCTCTTTAATATTTTTATTAGTGATATTGCAGAAGGTCTTGATGGTAAGGTATGTCTTTTTGCTGATGATACTAAGATATGTAACAGGGTTGATGTTCCAGGAGGGATAAGCCAAATGACAAATGATTTAGGTAAACTAGAAAAATGGTCAGAATTGTGGCAACTGACATTTAATGTGGATAAGTGCAAGATAATGCATCTTGGATGTAAAAACCCAAGGGCAGAGTACAGAATATTTGATAGAGTCCTAACCTCAACATATGAGGAAAGGGATTTAGGGGTGATTATTTCTGATGACTTAAAGGTAGGCAGACAATGTAATAGAGCAGCAGGAAATGCTAGCAGAATGCTTGGTTGTATAGGGAGAGGTATTAGCAGTAGAAAGAGGGAAGTGCTCATGCCATTGTACAGAACACTGGTGAGACCTCACTTGGAGTATTGTACACAGTACTGGAGACCGTATCTTCAGAAGGATATTGATACCTTAGAGAGGGTTCAGAGAGGGCTACTAAACTGGTTCATGGATTGCGGGATAAAACTTACCAGGAAAGGTTAAAGGATCTTAACATGTATAGCTTGGAGGAAAGACGAGACAGGGGGGATATGATAGAAACATTTAAATATATAAAGGGAATCAACACAGTAAAGGAGGAGACTATATTTAAAAGAAGAAAAACTACCACAACAAGAGGACATAGTCTTAAATTAGAGGGACAAAGGTTTAAAAATAATATCAGGAAGTATTACTTTACTGAGAGGGTAGTGGATGCATGGAATAGCCTTCCAACTGAAGTGGTAGAGGTTAACACAGTAAAGGAGTTTAAGCATGCGTGGGATAGGCATAAGGCTATCCTAACTATAAGATAAGGCTAGGGACTATAGAAAGTATTTAGAAAATTGGGCAGACTAGATGGGCCGAATGGTTCTTATCTGCCGTCACATTCTATGTTTCTAAGGTATGACAGTTTTAGTGTTTTTGGTCAATAAGATTCTGTAATTAGGCCGCATTATAATTGTCAGCACCAGGCCCACTGGGCTCTTAATCTGGCCCTGCCCCCAGGGAAAAACACATGCCGAATACTTCACTGACGGCAGCAGTTTTGTTAAAGATGGGATGAGATATGCTGGATATGCAGTCACTACTGTCAGTTCTGTCATCAAACCCAAACCCCTTCCAAATGGTAACTCTGCACAAAAGGCTGAACTAATAGCCCTGACCCGGGCCCTGCAACTGGCCGCGGGCCTATGTGTCAACATCTACACTGACTCAAAGTATGCATGCCTTACAACTCATGCCCACGGGGCCCTGTAAAAGGAACGGGGCCTACTCAACTCTGGAGGAAAAGATATCAAGCATTCAGGGCCGGACTGGGAAAAAAATTAGGCCCGGGCATTTTTCAATTAGAGCGGCCCCCCAAGAAGGGGGCGGGGCCAGAGAGGGTGTGTTTTGTCATCACTAATGACAAGCACGCCCCCTCTCAAAGTGAGCATGTTGGTTCAATGCGCAGAGCCCCGCTGAAGAGCTCTGGCATTAGAAAAAGGCCCTGAATTTGTTCTGCGCAGCGCAAGCAAATGTAATAACATGCTTGCGCTGTGTTTCCTTTTAAATTGTCTCTGGTGTCACCACAAGTGGGATATCAGAGGACAAAAGGGCCAGGAAAGTGTATGGTGCATGTGTTTGGCGCCTGCTTGTGGGATTGCCTGTGTGTAGAGTGTGGTGTGGTATTGTGTAAATAGGTGTAATATGTGTTGCTAGGGGCTGTAGAGAGTGCGTGTATAGGGGCATAGTGTTATAGGGGATGTAGCGAGTGTGTGCATACGGGCAGTAGTGTGTGTGTATAGGTGACGTAGTGTGTGTAGGGGTTGTAGAGAGGGTGTGTTTAGAGAATGTTGTATGTCTTTCCTTAGAAGGAATATAGTGTGTGTGTGTGTAGGTGGTGCAGTGTGTGTGTGTAAGAGATCTAGTGTGTAAAGGACCCAGAGTGTGTATAGAAGATTGTGTGTGTGTTTGTGTAGAGGATTAAGAGTGCATATAGGGTAAAGGATCTAGCGTGTATTTGGAGCGTAATGTGTGTAGTGGTGCAGTAGTGTGTGTGTGTGTATATATATATATATATATATTTGGAGGTATTGTATGTGTGAGGTGCGCAGTGTGTTTGTGTAAGAGGGGTGCTGTGTGTGAGGGTGTTTTTATCTGCCGTCACATTCTAGGTTTCTAATTTTCTTTGTCTGTTAACTCACTGAGGGTTATATTATATTATATTATATTATATTATATATTATATTATATTATATTATATATATATATATATATATATATATATATATATATATATATATATGTGTGTGTGTGTGTGTATCTGGGGGTGCTATGTGTGTGTGTCTGGGGGTGCTGTATCTGGGGTGCTGTGTGTGTGTCTGGGGGTGCTGTGTGTGTTTGGGTGCTGTGTGTGTGTTTGGGTGCTGTGTGTGTATCTGGGGGTGCTGTGTGTGTATCTGTGGGTGCTGTGTGTGTATCTGGGGGTGCTGTGTGTGTCTGGGGGTGCTGTGTGTGTGTCTGGGGGTGCTGTGTGTGTTTGGGGGTGCTGTGTGTGTATCTGGAGGTGCTGTGTGTATCTAAGGTGCTGTGTGTGTCTGGGGGTGCTGTGTGTGTCTGGGGTGCTGTGTGTGTATCTAGGGTGCTGTGTGTGTCTGGGTGCTGTGTGTGTATCTGGGGTGCTGTGTGTGTCTGGGTGCTGTGTGTGTATCTGGGG